CCCTTGAGGAGCACTCGGAGGCTCCAGCTAGTCCAGAATGCGGCCGCGCGGGCGGTGTTGGGAGGGACTCGTCGCTCCCATGTAACACCGTTGCTGTGCGAGCTGCACTGGCTGCCGGTGGCTTTCCGGGTGCGCTTCAAGGTGTTGGTTATCACCTTCAAAGCGCTCCATGGCATCGGACCTGGATATCTCCGAGACCACCTTCTGCCTCAGAGTGCCTCCCATCGGCCGGTACGCTCCCACAGAGTGGGTCTCCTCAGGGTGCCATCAGCCAGACATGCCGACTGGCGACTCCCAGGGGGAGGGCCTTCTCTGTGGGAGCTCCCACCCTCTGGAATGAACTACCCCCAGAGATCCGGGTGATCCGGATCTCCCTTCCTTCTGCCGCGCCCTTAAGACATGGCTATTTCAACAAGCAGGACTGGCCTAGGGGGAGATTTTTAGCGGGGTTTTAAAAACAATTTTAAATTGACATTGGCCAAATCTAATATTTCATTTTAATTATGTTTTTTAAATTGGGGTATTTTTGTATTTGTTTTTTATCAGGCTGTCAGCCGCCCTGAGTCCGTAAGGAGGAGGACGGGGTAAAAATTCAATTAAATAAATAAATAAATAAATAAATACCTTCTTGGACTTTTGAGGTTGTTTCCTGTTCCTGTGGCATGAACTTTGACCTGAGCTTCAGTGTGCCTTTCTGGTATTCAGATGGTGGTAGATTAATCCTATTATGTCCCAATGGTGATATCCTACTTCCCTGGAGCTGTGGCTGATGACTATGTCCTGTGTTGGATTTTTTGGTGTGAGGGGTTGTTGATTGTAATCCCATCAGCTCCAAGCTTTCTGGCTCCAATCTTTCTTAAAGGATTATCACATCTGCATTTCTGCTTGGGGCAGAGAGATTGGGTGGGGGGAGGTGCCTAGGATTTTCCATTATTTCTTTGGAGAAATATAATATTCTGCCTTTTTAATATTCCCCAAAATATTTCTTTCTCAGGGGGGGGGGGTGTCTTCCCACTATCCCCCCTTTGTGCCATAATATGTGGGTGACACACTTTTACTGACAAAAGATTAAAAATTGATCTGGTCAGGGAGATTTGGTAAATAACTTTTAAAATGTTAATGCAAAAAGGGGAAGACACTAATAAAGGCATCAGAAAAAGATCCCTGCAGTGGCTCTGAAAAGCCTTTTAACCATGAAGGTTTAAAAGTCAGGGCAAAAGTTCTGTTAGATGGAAGAGAAATTTATAGTGTCCAATATTCTGTGCCAATTCTATCATAAAACATTAAAAATGGAACCAGCTTTCCAATCCAAAAATCAGAAGGAAAATTATAGATGTAATGGCAGCAATTGCAACTGGTAGATGGGGAAGACTTATAGGTCTCGAGTATGGGGCCTTACTGCTTTTCCATGACTAAATTAAAAGAAGGCAATGCAATTCTACATCTTTCATTTTTTTCTTTGTTTTAGTGGCTGTTTGTTATTCAGTTCAGGCCTCAGTATGATGATATAGCATTTAGGGAAAAAGATGCATATGAGGAGGCCACCACTGGATGTTATAATGGAGAAGATCTCCACAGTTACCATATGTTTGCCCCCAGTGGTCAGATAACTAGGAACAAAGGAAAGCCAAACACTGCAAAAAATCAACATGCTGAACGTGATAAATTTGGCTTCGTTAAAAGTGTCCGGTAATTTCCTGGCGAAGAAAGCTAATGTAAAGCTGACAAGAGCAAGGAGGCCCATAAAGCCAAGGACACAGTAGAACATGATAAAGGAGCCTTCATTACATTCCAGAATAATTTCTTTTGCCATTAAGTGAACGTTGAAATCAGGAAATGGAGGAAAGGTGAACAGCCAGACAGTACAAAGAATTATTTGAATGAAGGAGCAGAAAAATACAATGGAAATGCCCAATCTTTTCCCTACCCATTTCCTCACTATAGAGTTTGGTTTGGTGGCCATGAAAGCTAAAATCACAATGGTAGTTTTTGCTAGCATACATGATACAGCTACACTAAATATTATACCAAAAGTACTTTGTCGGAGGAGACACGTCACTTTATGAGGTTTGCCAATGAACAGTAAAGCACAAAGGAATGAAAGCAGAAGGGAAATGAGAAAGATGTAGGTGAGGTTTCGGTTGTTGGCCTTGACAATGGGAGTATCCTGGTATTTAATGAAGACACCCAGAACTAACAATACAATAAAAGAAGACAAAAGAGAACAAATGACTAAGATGGTCCCCAGTGATTCTTCATATGTTAGGAAGGTTAGCGTTTTTGGAAGACATGAATTCTGATCCTTGTTTGGATACTGATCTTCTGGACATGTAAAACAGTCATCCATATCTAGGGGAAAAAACACTCAGGTTAGAAAGATGGTTGTACTGAATTAAACACATGACTCATCTTCCATTTCCATCATTAGAGCCTTCATCAGAGAGTTAGGCTTTTGCAGAATTGTGTCCAAAATATGATAATTTGTGTCTGGCCATTTGTGCCTTGAGTGAGAACTCTGGGTTGATTTGTTCATTGATTGATTTAACAAGTATTTTTCAGGCTTAAAAAACTATGATTTTTGGAGATGTATTTTGCTTTATGGAGCCTGACATTTTATCCTTTTTCTGTTTCCATTAAAAAAAAATCTGAAAGGCCATCTCTTTTAAAAAAAAAAGAAAAGTGATTTTGTTGTGGTGAAGAGACATAATAGTTTTATATAGCTCTAACTGTATTATTTTTAACCATCAATCCACTTTAGTAACTCAATTTAGAATGTGAAATAAATCTGTGCAGAGTATAGGATTTGATGTTCCCAAGTGTCTTTGGGTGTGGAGAAACACAAATGTATCTCCTCTCTGCATCATCTTAAAACATCCTGGGATGTCATGACAGCTTTTTTGCAGGTAGGCATTATGTTGGTGCTCATGTGCATTCTGAAGCAGTTCTTAGAGTTTTAGTCTCTGCACTACTTGAGAGACTATAATCCATTGACAAGTATTTTGCTTTGTTGAACCTGACATTTTTACTAGTTTCTGTTTCTTCTGTTTCTTTTATTTATCCTTCCTTCCTTCCTTCCTTCCTTTCTTCCTTCCTTCCTTCCTTCCTTCCACATACACACAGAAGCACACAAACACAGTTAGAGCTATGTGGAAATAACTGTGTTCCCTCACCACAACAGAGGCATTTTTGCTTTAAAAAGTCTGATATGTATCACTCAGTTTTCCCCACTCACCTATAAGATTGGAAATCTTTCCTTGGGGACAGTGAAGACAATCATAACAGCAAAATGGCTTCCCTTCTATTTTGGTCTTAGCATAACCCAAAGAGCAGTAATTGTTACACAGAGAAGATGGCCGGACCTGTATATAAAGGAAATGAAAAAAAAATGTGTTGCTTTTTTCCAAAACTGTGTAGTAATAGTTATTGTCTACAAAACTCCACAATACATCAGATTTGGTGGGAAGAGGCAAAGAAAGGAAAATTCTACGGGTTTTAGAGAGGTACCACTCAGATTCTTTTCCATGTATTTTAAATGAAGATAAGATAAAAACCTCATGAGCCAAGCTCATATTCTGCTGACACACGAATACATTCATGTAGTTTTACAATGGAATGGAGGTATTTTGCCTCTGTCTTATTTATGGATTTTTTTTACTTTAACACCCTTGGGATTTTCTTGTATCGTGGGAATTAATAAACCCAACCACTTGACTTACTTTGTTTCCCTATGAATCCAGGTCTGTTAGATTGTTGGTATGTGTTATGATTTAAGGCAATATATGATTGTACTAATGGAGTGGCCTGTATTCTGCAAAGGTCGACATGGAATCGGGAGGCAGGTTGAAAGAGAGGTATTTGTCCTGATTTGTAGATCCCTTTTTCAATACTATATTACTGTATAAAAGCTTTATTCAAATGGTTATGTTATTATATCACTTCTGACCTTTTTTGAAACTTGGAAGCAATATTGCTAAACATTCTTCCCTATAATATTAATCAGTACAAGATATCCCTAGAACAGGGGTGTGAAACTGCTGGCCTGCAGGTCGGACGCGTCATTGGGAAACCACGCCAACTCCATTGCCGACAACGGCGAAAAAGCTCCGATACGTTGCACGATGTCACATGACATCACGAGTTTGACATGTCTGCCCTAGAATATCTCTTAGTCCCAGCATGAAGAGACAAATATTCCACAGCTCATATCTATTCAGTTAAAAGTAAGTAATGTTATCCTGCATTATCTAAACATGAGTTTCAGCTCTACCTGGTTAAACCTGATTGGCCAAATGATGGCTTCCTCATGGACCATTACCATGTCCTCTTGGGAAGTCATAGATCCTATTCCACCAACTTTGACTTTTAAAAAGGATTTGTTTGGGAATGTGACCCAGTTGATGACATCAAATCCAGCATCTAGTTCTCCATTTTGATTGAAAGATAGTGTTTCTCCTTTAGTATTATTGAATGAGATGCTTCTTACAATTTCATTGAGCTACAAAACAAAAATATAAAATAAGAAGAAACAGAAGAATTCATCAAGGACTATAAAATAGTGAAAGTTTAATTGCATTTCAGGAATTTTGGAAATAAATGTTTTTATATGTACTTGATATCTTAATGGGGAGATAAACACTCATTATCATATGTTACAAATTTTCAAAGTCATACAAGTTTATTTGAATTTGACAATGGGAAAGAGCTAGAAGAAAGGTGTTAGAGTTTGGGGAGTTTTGGGAGTTGGGGGAAGTAAGAAAGTTAGAATGATCTAAGGATATTATAGGAAGAGACTAGTTAAAATGGAGATGACTGGAAAACAAAGTTCACTTCAAGGAGTATCAGATGCTGAAGAAAGTTCCTCCATGAAATATTTATTTCTTTATGAAAATTTATATGGCTGCCCAACTCACTCTCAGTGACTCTGAGTAGCTTATAGTAGCAATAGTATTTTAGTGTTTTATAACACTCTCTAGGCAATTTATAATGTACATATTATTTGCCCCCAACAATCTGGGTCCTCATTTTATCAACCTTGGAAGGATGGAAGTCCACCTTGAGCCCTCTCTGGATCAAAGCCTAGGCTGCACTTTAACAACAAGGATAAAAGCCCAATACAAAAACAATGAAAACCAATACCCCCTCCCAACCCCACCATCCCACAAATATGAAAACAGTTAGATATTAATGTCCAATCTCTTTGAAAGTCAGAAGGAGAAAGAAGGAATATTTATCTTCTTTAGCAGTATGTTGTTTGCAGAGCTATTTATATGAAAAACTTCTACATAAACCAGCGCACCTAATTATTAAATGTTTGATATAAAAGAGAAAGTAAAGTTCACCAGATGATTCTTGCATGCTGTCACTTGAACAATTCTGAAAATTCCTTCCCCCCAACACACACAACTATAAGAAAGCTGACAGAAAAAGATCTTCATAGGAATAATTTTCTTATAAATAATTATGGGGATATGGTACATTACTAAAATTAAACTTATGGTAAAAATGCCACTGAATAATTAAAATCAGTAAACAAACCATTCTGAAATCCATAAAAAGAAATAAAAGATGTAAAACTTTTTGAAAATTGCCTGCATTGCAATACTGGACTGGTATTCCCAATGTGTCTGAGATACAGAATACTAACAGAAATGGCAGAAAGGAAAATATATGAGTAAAAGCATTCAGGAGGAAGATAAATCCATGTGTCTTGTGCATCTGGAAAGGCATTTCATTTTCTTGGCCCTATCCCTTGTATAAAATCTTATTTAATTAAATACACGATGATCAAAAGCAAAATGATATTGAACTAAATATGTAATTTGTCTGTTAAATGAGATAGAGATAAAGCTATACACTTGACAGCTCTCAGTGTTCTTGAGACCTTACCTTCCATGGGTGAAGTTTGAGGAAGTCAATAAGTCTTAGTTTGCTTATTCTTGCTCTATATTTGAAGGTGGTTGAATGAACAACACGTATTGCATGTGCCAAAATATAGACTGCATTGTAGATGCTATAGCTGTGACCAGTCATGTCCATTTCAAAAACAGATGTTGGGAGTGTCTCTAGCTTCTCCTCCCCAGAGCAGATTGGTTGATTTTCCATCATAGAGTTGTGTTTCTCATCCACTATGGAATCTGAGAATACACATCCAAATGCCTCTTTCCAGAAAACTCTAATAAAGCCATCTTTTTGAATGAGGTTTGGCTTTCTCATCTGAAGAAATTCCCGAAACCCTAGGGCTTCGCTTGAATGAACTGCAAAAGATAGAGCACCATGGAGAAAATCTAAGTCTTCCAATCTCTGGAAGGGAAGAGATGTGAAATCCATTTGAGCTGTCATAATCCAGATTTTACTGTTTCCTTGTAATGGCATTTCTTCATATTTTGACATAGCAGGAAGCATTCTCAAAACTATCATTATATCAATTTCACCTTGAATTAACACAGAATTGACAGTGCTGTTCATCACAATACTGTACATTTTCATCCCTTCTTTCACCATAGTGAGAATGTCAGTAGAATAAGAAATTAATGGAAATCTTTCAATGAAGTCAAAACAGATTCCACTTTTGGAAAACATGGGAATCACATTTTGTACAAACTTCTCCCCATTGTCATTATTCACACACAAGACTCCAATCCATGTCCACATAAAATGCTTCAGTAGTTGAAGAATTCCCTTATACTGAAAATCCATATTTGGAAACATTTGGTGATAGAAACCATCCAGTTTATGCTTATTTGTTGCTGGAGCAGACCCATACATCAACTATAAAAAATACAGAAGAGTTAGTAAAGGAGACAATAAGCTTTGATTTTTTTAAAAAAAAACATGTGTCGATATACTTTTTCTAATTAGTGCACAACACAAAAGTTTAGTTCCATTTCATAATAACAATTTTAGATTTGGCAGTTGAGTTCTTGACCACTTTCAAGCGTAAAATTTGAAGATCAATTGTGCACAACTAATCAATTTTTGCTGGTCTTAAATTTGCTTACATTTCTTTATCTCTTCCTATGTTTTATAAATTGGTTCCATTCAGTGTGAACTCAGAAAAGGGCTAATTCAGTTATTAAGTATGTTCTGTGAATATCCAATATCCAATAACATTTGATGCACCAGGAAATTTCTAGGTTTTGTTAATATCATGAGGGTCTGCAGTATTATTATTCATGCAATTGAAAAAGGAGCAGCCATTAACAAGTGTGTTTCAGAGATTTCAAAATAGGGTTGAAAGAAAAGTATGCCACTTGATTTTAGTCATAGTTTACTTTCTCCCAGGGACCAAGTCTTATCTAAAACAAATGTTATATTTAACCAGATTGCATATGTACTCCATATAGATGGTTACCTGAGGAAACTTGTAGATGTGCAGAATGATGGCCACATGAAGACATACATCAGTGTCAGGTCCTCCAATTATTGCTATTGGATATTTATGGATGTCACAATTGTAATTAGGGATTAATCTGTCTTTAGATGAAAGGAGTTCCATTGAGGCATGATACATCCATTTTGATATAAAATAGATTTGGAAGCCCAGTGTAACATTGGGTAAAATCTGGGGATTAGTATTGATCTCCTTGACAGCAAATACTAAAGCGAGGATGTGTTGGTAAATCTGAGTTATGACCCTGAAGAGACAGTTACATGCACTGCTATAATATATTTAACTCAGAATATGTTATCTATTTTGCCTATCCTTTCAGCTATAATATAAGGTCTTGATGTATGTGTATGAAACAATGGGTTTGATTCATACTACTTCTTTTAGCTATTAAAATAATCAAGGCACTTTTTTGAAATATTTGATGATCATCAGATTAACCAGGTTTCTAATCTCCCCTGCCTGGTATTCCAATATATTTGTTTTAGGAGAGTATTAAGTAGGGTTTAGTATGTCAGTGATGCCTTCATTATTGGTCAAGATATCTAGAATGAGCATCAATCGCTGGGGCATTTTTTTAGGGCTGTTGCTAATGAGGTCAACAATGGAGTTCTTTGTCATTCAGCTTTTCTTCAATTCCATCTTTTCTCTGGAAAGATCTACATGGCATGAACCGAACACTACTCCATGTCTGATTAGGTTAGGATGTTCATTAAAGGTGGTTGATGAATTAAGAAAAGACCCTACCTCCCCCAATGCACATCCTGCTCTCTTCCTCCTATCTTTGTAAATGTAATTTATTACTGTTATTAGGAATATTTATTATTCAAGGTCTTATTGGATTTTGTTTTTAAGCCACCCGGAGTTACCTTGAAGAGACAGATGAGTGGCAAACAAATCCAATAGAAATAGGTAGGTAGGTAGGTAGGTAGGTAGGTAGGTAGGTAGGTAGATAGATAGATAGATAGATAGATAGATAGATAGATAGATAGATAGATAGATAGATAGATAGATAGATAGATAGATAGATAGATAGATAGATAATAATATCTAAGCAAGACAATTTTGCTCTTAGCTCCCTTCATACAGCTTTCGTATTGTGACAAACAAAGTACAATTTGGATAAATTTGGCTGTACAAAAATATAATTAAATTGACTATATGGTATAATATCTCCAAAGACAAGACCCCAGCTTCTACAGGTAAAATCTAACATTTGTGACATTTTCGTAACGGGAAAGGGGAATTTGAACCATTACCTCAACAAAAATAAATATTTGTTCTCTAACATTCTTTGTTTGGTGACACCAGATCAATTAAACAGATGAAGGCTATAATTATATAGAACATATAAATGCCATAAAATCATTATGTATATGAAAAGCCAGTGAATACAGTACAAGCTTTTATAACATACATAATAAGCAATTGTTTTATACTCTACACTGCTATAGCAGTATAGAGTATAATTATTTTATACTCTATACTGCTATAATGGCACCCTTTATGCTGGATATCTACATAGATGTCAGTATGATACAAATGTGATACAATTGAAGCAATGCTCTTAACTCACAATAACATCTATGTTACATGTATGCATCTTGCCATTATTAAATACTTACAAAATATCCTCAAAGAGGTCGCTAGAAGGAGGTTTCTTGAAGTCCATCATCATATAAAGCAGGTAGATCTGAGAAATGATGCCAGCAATGTTGATGTTCCCTTCCTGGTATTGCTTGTGAAGAATAGGCAGAGGCTCAGCAATGCTGCATTTACTGTGAGAAATGTGACACATTCCTTGTGGCCAAAGCATTGATAGGAATGTGGCAGACACACCACATAAAATGAAACAATTCATTCTGGATTCACATGAACCTTCTCCAAATGTTTTGTGTCTTTCTAGATTTTGAGTTTAAGAATCCCCAAAAATCTACTTGGTCTGCATGTGTGTGTTTTTGTGTGCATGTGTGTGTATGAAAAGGATGGGGAATTTATATTTTAAGGCAAAAATCATTGACTAAATTTAATTGCAGATAGGAATGGAACATGGTGTATTAACAGTTTTTGATCCACTTGAGGTATCTCCTTGTCTCCTGACAATCATAATTATACTAATCATTAGATTTGAAGTAATCACTGTCTTAGAATTCCAGGTCTTGGAAACTCTGTACAAGAATTTATTTGTCATCTCTCAGGAAAAAAAATGTCTCTGGCTACCACCAAGCAATAAAGGAAATTGCAATGGGTGATAGCAAGTCTAAAAAAAACCCAATAACAATAACAATGGGGAAAAAAGAAAAGAAAATGCTGGCATTAAAGAAGGGACAGTCCTTGTGAAGTCCACAGTAAATAAATCCTTTCAATCACTTATTCAATCATTTGGTCCCAGCAAACTGCTTTATTCATGCATCCCCCATAATGTTACAAACTGATGTTATAAGATTTGTTTTCAGATAGATAGATAGATAGATAGATAGATAGATAGATAGATAGATAGATAGATAGATAGATAGATAGATAGATAGATAGATAGATAGATAGATAGATAGATACCTTTTTACCGTGGGCACAATGGCACACATTAAAAATGAAATTTAGTTACTTGCTCTCATTTACTCATTTAAACATACTATATACAACATATGTATAGACCTACACTCTTACATATACAGTATGTAACATATAAATATTAACCATTGTCCATCTTGAATATATAACAGAAGGAGGAAACTTTAGAGTTCATAAGGTTACTAATATATGGAACAAAACTGTGACTGAATCTGGATGTTCTGCTTCAGATACCACGGAGCCTCCTCCCAGAAGGTAACAAGGAAAACCGGTCATGAAGAGGATGTGTATTGTCCCAGACAATCTTACAGATCCTGCTCAAGCAACACTTATGTGCTAGCTCCTGGAAAGAAGGGAGGGAACTGCCAATATTTTTTTCAGCCATCCTCATCACTCTCTGCACCACCTTCCTGTCTGAAGCAGTGATGTTCTAAACCAGACTGTGATGCTGTATGACAGGATGCTCTCAATTGTCCCTCTGTAAAAAGTGATAAGGATAGGGGAAGGAAGATGTGCTTTTCTCATGCGATGCAGAAAATGCAGGTGCTGCTATGCCCGCTTCACGAGTGTCTCGCTGTTGAGCGACCAAGCCAGACTACTTGTTAACTGCGTACCCAGGAATTTGATGCTGGTAACCATCTCAACAGGTAAATCATTATGGTGTTGGTTATCATCTTTAAAGCGCTCCATGGCATCGGACCTGGATATCTCCGAGACCGCCTTCTGCCGCAGGTTACCTCCCATCGGCCGGTACGCTCCCACAGAGTGGGTCTCCTCAGGGTGCCGTCAGCCAGACAGTGCCGGCTGGCAACCCCCAGGGGGAGGGCCTTCTCGGTGGGAGCCCCCACCCTCTGGAACNATTATTATTATTATTATTATTATTATTATTATTATTATTATTATTATTATTATTATTATTATTATTATTATTATTATTATTATTATTAATGCATAGAGAAGTGTGGCTGTGCCTGCCTTTTCTGAAATTGACAATGATCTCTGTTTTTTCCAGTATTTAAAACTAGGCTGTTTTCCTTACACCAGTTCACCAAACCTTTAATCTCCTTGCGGTAAGCACCCTCATTGACATTATGAATAAGGCCCACTACTGTTGTATCATCTGCAAACTTCACAATATGGTTGGTGGCAAATCTAGCACAACAGTCATGGGTCAACAGTGTGAACAGCAGCAGACTTAAGACGCAGCCCTGAGGAGAATCTGTGCTCAAGAAAATGGTGTTAGAAATATTTGTTCCAGATCGCACATATTGGAGCCTGTTAGTAAGAAAATCAAGAATCCAGCTGCACAGGAGTGTTTAAGCCTAAAAGGCCCAGTTTGTCTACTAGATGCTGGGGAATGATTGTGTTAAATGCTGAACTGAAGTTAACAAACAACAAATGCACATGAATATTTCTTTCCTCTAAGTGCTTCAAGCTCAGATGGAGAACAGAAGAAATAGCATCCTCCGTAGAGCGATTTGGTCAGTGAGCAAACTGAAGCGGGTCAAATGCTGGTGGGAAGCTAGATACAATAATGTCCTTTATCAGCTTCTCAAAGCATTTCATAATGATAGATGTCAGTGCAACTGGACGGTAATCATTGAGGCCTGTAATTGTGGACTTTTTTGGCACTGGCAAAATGATGGGCATCTTAAAATATGATGGGACCACTGCTTGCTGCAATGACACATTGAAAATATGTGTGAGAACACAAGCCAGCTCATCTGCGCATTCCCTAAAAACACATCCAGGGATATTATCTGGGCCTGCTGCTTTCCGAATGTTAACTTTCTGCAGTCTTTTCCGGACAGAGGTGACATCAAAGCTAAGCACTTAAGCACTGTAGCTTCACTTAATGATTCTGCAAAGTTCATTCTATGATCAAAGCCAAAGATCAAAAACACAGATTTCAGAAGGCAGTCCCTTCCTCAATAAAATCTCATTTCTAGGACAAACCTCTTTAAGTTCTCTTAAGCTAGATTATTCGCTATTGCTATCCCCCTCTCCATTTCACCAGAACTGAAGCCTATTTAGTGTGATTTCCCAGCAATAGTCGCTCAGTAAACTATCTGCCTAGTATACTGATATAAATGATATAGTATTAGCACTTCTAGGTGAAATACTAATTATTCAGGAGCAAAAAAAAAATGAGGATAGATAACATGGTCATTTTGGGGTACACCAAAAAAGGAGAGGCTTAAAGATATTTGATTTGATTTTTATTATTTATTTATTATGGTTACTCAACTCCAGCAATATGCCTCTGGAAACTGTACAGAATTCAGTAAAGAATACAAAATAAAACTGTACTTACAACTACAAGAAAGCGAATCATTCCTCTCCAGCTGTTAAAATAGCATCTTAAGAAAAATACCAGGCCTCCTCCTTCTCCTCCTCCTTCCCCTTGTTTTTCATAATAATAAAAAGTATAATTATATAACTCTAATCTAAGAAAATTATGAAGTATAACAAAAGAATACATTAAAGACATCTTGAGATAGGTTTACTAAGCTCCCATAATCTATCAGATAATATAAGTAAACTATTTTTATTCTACTAACCTGTTAAATAAATGCAAATAAATAAATAAAATGATACAAGGTCAATTATAATAAGACTTTATAATAATAAAGGTATAATAATAAAATGTGTAATGTTGATCAGACATACAGAAATAGTATCTTGCATCATGTGCCATCACAATGGTTAATTAATTGTTGGTTAATTTCTATGTATTAACATAACTTCCATACTGACTTTATGATACCACCCTACTTGATATACAACGTTTCTTTTTATAAATGGACTCCTGCAATAATCTATTTACTGTATAATAAAAAATTTAAAAATATATTATAGAAGAATGATATTCTCATCTACACAATGCAAAGCTATATAGAAGCATCAAAGGTAACTCTCAATACATGGATGTACATGGTGCTTTTCTTGAGGATCAAACAGGATAGTAGACCCCTTTGAGTTTAGGCATTGACTAAGATAATTTTAATGGTATTTACTTCTTATGTGCTTTCTGCTGTTCACCTCATGTCTTAGTATGATAATATAATTTTTTTGGGAAAAGATGCAGACCAATAAACCAGCACTGGAGGTCATGATGGAAAAGATCTCCATAGCCACCATGTATTTGCCCTTTGTGCTTAAATAAGTTGGAACAAAGGAAACCCAGACACTGCAAAAGACCATGGCTTCATTGAAACTGTCAGGCAAGTTCCTGGCCAGGAAGGCCACCGTGAAGCTGATGGTAGCCAGGAAACCCAGAAAGCCCAGGACAATGTAAAACATGGTGATAGAGCCTTCATTGCATTCCAGGATAATTTCTTTCATCATGGACTGCATATCAACATCTGGAAAGAGGGGAGCAATTACTAACCACACACTGAAAATCAAGGCTTAAATGAAACAGCAGGAAAGAACAATGGAACTGGCTAGATGTTTCCCGGACAATTTTCTCATTCCAGTTCCTGGTGTAGTGGCCATGAAGGCAAGAACCACAATGATAGCCTTGGCCAAAACTGAAGAAATGGCTATGGAGAAGATGATGCCAAAAGTTGTTTGTCAAAGAAGACACATAAACTCCTTGGGTTGTCCAATGAAAAGCAAAGTGCAAAGGAAAGAAAGTAAGATGGAAATTAGGAGAACATAGCTCAGGTTCTGGTTGTTGGCTTTGACAATGGGAGTCTCCCAGTGCTTAATGTAGATGTAATGTACCAAAGCTGTGAGGAAAGAAAACAAAAGGCCAAAAACAGTGAACATGATTCCCAAAGGTTCTTCGAATGACAGAAAGCTGATATCTTTTTGAAGGCACCGATTCCGATCCACATTGGGATACTGATTTTCTGGACATTGAAAACAGTCATCTGAGTCTGTTAAAAAAGAAAGAAAGATGTAGTTATTTAATAGACTAAAGCTGTATGTAAAATAATATAAGGAAATGAGACAATAAAGTGCAATAACACAGGTAATCCCATTTAGAGGAAACTAAAAACACAAGAGATAAAAATACAAAACATGAAATTTAAAATATTATAAAGATATGTCTAAATCAGTGGTCCCAAACCTTTTGGGCATCAGGGACCAGTTCCGTGGAGAGAGGTTTTTTCTGCGGACCAGAGAGTGTGCTGCCTGCATCCCATGGATGGGGTTTCACTTGTTTGGGGGCTTGGTTTCTGCCATGCCACGGTCTGGTGCCAGTTCATGGACAAGGGGGTTGGGGACCCCTGAACTAAATTATAGATATATACTTTTGCTTCATTTGTCACAGCCAGGAAATCAGCAAAGTCTCCATTATAGGCTCTATTTTGGAGTTCTATCACTATATGTTAGGGTAGGGATTTTTTTGGCCCCATGGACACAATTCAGTCATATGGAATATGTATTATGGAATATGTGGAGTATGTGGAATATGGAATATGTGGCAACAACATTGTCGAACATTTGCCTTTCATCTTGGAAAAAATACCTGGATTTGACTATCCCCATGTAATATAGACAACACTGAATCGAATTTGTACTGGACATAGTAGATTTGCAGATGCTTTCTATCAATGGGAAAAAATACCATCACCAAATTATGACTGCAGGGTTGAAAAATAAACTGTTCAGAATATTATGAAACATGCAGGCTGTGCATGAATGGACTTTTTTTTATTCAGCTTTACTCTTTAGATTAGAAATTTCTTCCTCTGGGCATCAACTGCAATTGTAACAGCAAAAAGGCTTCCCTTCAATCTTTGTCTTACTATATCCAGAATTGCAATGTAGATTACACAGAGAAAAAGGTTGCACCTGTCCAGAAGCATGAGAGGAGAATATTTTATCATTCCTAAAAAGATGTTGAAAGTAACTACCTCCATATTATGCCCAGAGTTCTTTTACAAAAAAGACTGATAGTGGTTAAGAATAGAGCTTAGTGATGAAATAATTCAAAGGGGTGATGAGACAATGAGCACAAATGAGTGCACAGATCACATTTGACAACTTCTTAAAAATGCTGGATATTCTCAGGATGAGATTCATTTGATTTATCAAGTTACCCAAAATTATAATAGTCTTTCACAGTAAATTCAAATCAGTATCTCAGTAGAATGCTAAATTGGAACCCAAAATGAAGTACCTTATTGCTTAAATTTTTGATGAATTTTGTAATTTTGTAAAATGTATATCATAAAATGACTTTGACAGGCTTGAGGTATACTTATATCTGGCCATTAATTCTGCTCTTTCAATATAAAAATATCCCAGATATTTGTTGATTCCCTCTCCCTTATTCCTTTGTATTACTACAACAAAGCAAAGAAACTTGGGGAAATATAGCATTGTAGGCAGATTATGTAATATAGAATTGAAATTAATAACATGAAACCTAATTTTAAAAGGGTGGAATGGGAAGAAATGAGACATGCTACATCCATCTATATATGGCGGGGAAATGATTGACATCTCTTAGTATAATTTCTACCTGGTTGAAAGCCTTGGGCCATTGGATTGCATTTTCAGAAATGGTGATTATTTTGCCAGGAGCATTCTGTGGTGCCACTTATACAAGTTTGACTCTAATGAAGGACTGGTTTGGAAATGTGATCCAATTGATAATATCAAATCCTGCTCTTAGTTCCCCTTTGGAACTGAAGGAAAGCATTTCGCCAACACTGTTGTTAAATGAAATACTTCTCAAGTAGTGGTGAAGCTGGAGAAAAATCAGACAACAAATTATCATCCTCAGCATCATATTAATTGAATATAGTAACGATCAAACTGAATATTAGAAACATTCTGTTTGTAAAAGAAATAGTCTGGTGCACAGATTTATTCCAGATATTTCAAATGGCTGGTTTTAATTCATTCTTTCCAGTTTCCTTTTTGAAATTCTATTATTATTGATATAGGTATTCTTAACTTACTTTGAAGTGATTGTTGTATTGGGATACATAAGATTGCTTCTAGACTGAGTTGCTTGCATTTAGTGAATGAATTTCCCAATCTGTCTACAATGATACTCTAGAACTTTTTTTTTCATTACTTTCTAGGCGAATCTATGTTTCCTCACTGGTAGGAACAATTAAAGGTTAATTAATATTAACATAGAAAATAAACTTGATTCATTTCAAGTTGTTCATAAAGATTTCCATCCACTTAGATAGCAGTAAGTATCTTACAAGTAAAGTAAAAATCAATAAGGTCTAATTCTCATTCCTCAAGTTAAAAGTTAGGACTCAGTTCACTCAAAAATTTGGAAAAGGAAACATGTCAAGAGTCAATACTTTGCTAACAGATGAACTACCTTTTGCAAGACTTCTCTGTTCCTCTATATTTTTAGACAATGAAAAGAAGTAAAAAAAAAAACAAATCCTAAAAAGAAAAACATAAATAAATGAAGCTGATTATCATCATTATCTTAGAGTCCCATTTATCAGGAACATCCAATCAGCTTCAACATATTTTAAGGCAATCCTATAAACTGGATGTGAAATGGCAGCCATGTCACAACTATTGCCTGAATGTCTAAAATTCTGCAATGATATCAAAATTTTAACCACCAAGTACTATTGCCTGGAACAACCAAAAATGTCTATACATGCATTCTCTAGTATTTTCATGTATTACTGATCTAAGGAAACTACCTGCCAAGGTTGTTGTTTAAGAAACTGCTGTCTCTGCTCATTTTGTCTTGCTACTTTCTTCACTGAAGATGAGAGCATAATGTACAAAGCTCCTGCCA